GTGGCGGCGGCGGCGTCGGGGCGCGGAGGCGGGGGCGGGGAGATGGCGGCGGCCGCCGAGCTGCAGGGGAAGTACCAGAAGCTGGCCCAGGAGTACTCCAAGGTATCAGGCGCCGGAGCCTGTCACCGAGCGGCGGCCACCGCCCCCCCCCCCTCTGGCGATGCCGCTCCCTGAGCGCGGGGCTGCCGGCCGTTACCCGCCTAACGGCCGCCCCTCTCTGAGGGGAGTGGGGGGGCCTTCCCCGCTGCCTTCGCTGAGCCGGGGGCAGCCGGCTGCTCTGCCTCGGTGCGGCGGGGCCCTGAGGTCACCCGCCCGGCTTGGGGCTGGTCAGGACTGAACCGCTGGTTTCTGTGGCAGCGTGAGGTGTTTGGGGCCCGAAGGTTGCCTCTTCCTGAGGGGGAGGTGAAGGCGAGCTTGGGCAGGCAGAGGAGATGCGAGTTTGCAGGTGCCAAGGGTTGGCTGGGTGAGGAGCAAGGTGGTCTTGGCAGCAAAGCATCCATTGGGACAAATAATGAGTTCAGCCATGCCAGAGAAGCGCAGCCAGCAGTGCTTCCCCTTCTCCACTTCCCAGTCAGGCCTGAGGTTTATCTTCTTGGGTGTGAACACTTGTTGTCTTGGTCTTGTATCTTACCCCTAGACTCCGAGGTTGCTTGGACTGGTTGATGTGGGAGATCCAGTGGTGTTGCAGGGTCTTGGAAGTGAAGCCATTTGAGACTCACTTTGTGTCTGTTCCCATTTTTCTGCATCTGCCCTAAGTGACTTTCCTTCCTGTTTGCGATGCTGCTTAATGGAGTATTTGGAAAGGCTTCTACCCGTAGCAGAGAATGCTTTTCCAAGGTGCTTAAGATGATTCCATAAATGGTGGACTCTTGCTTAATACAGAACTCCTCATTCATGTTACCTCACTAAAAAGAAGAGCTCACCATTGGTCTTGAGTGGTACAGTTCTTCAGTGGTCTTGGGAAAGAAAACCAGCACTTTGGTTTTGTGTAGCCCGTTGTTAGAGTGTTTGGCATAAGGCACTTGACTGTATTTGACACCTTTCTCTAGATTAGAGAATGATGTGTCTTTAAATACTATTCTCCTTGGAACTGCTACTAAAAAAGCTGTACAGAGTCTAAATTGTTCACAGATATATATATATTTCTTAAAACTGTCACAAGATCATTTTAAGAAAACTGAATTCACATTGGGGTTTTGTGTGTTCATGTTTCTTGTTGCTTTCTACAGTGGCTCTGCTGTACCTTGGAGATTAAAAATGGCTCGGGATAAAGTAATTAAGGGAATTTGCTTGATTCCTGAATGGAACTTGGCAATGCAGATCTCTTGACTATAGCTTCTGAAAGTTCCAGCTACTGGATCCTCTTTTTTCTAGTAGCATGGTGTCCAAAAGCTTTCTTTGAACTTCATCTTGCAGCTTTCAGCCTGTAATGTTTCACTGGTTCTTTGTAGGAACTATTTTTTGGTCTTATCCTGCTTCTTGTCCAACAACTCCAGGGCATTGTGGGATCCCCTTTGCAGATAACTCTCCTCTTTGTGCAAAATCATCAGTTGCTCAATTGGCTGTTTGTGTGCAGGTGGAAACAGAGTAGCCCTGGGAAAGGTATTTGCCTGTTCACTTGATTGCATTGTTGAAGCTAGGGAGAGGGGCAGACCAGAGCTTGATAGACTCAAGGAGTGCCTTCCCTCTCAGTTCACAGGGCAGTGGAGAAGGAGGTGTGTTTTCAGAGTCTCTTCTTCCCCTTGAGTTGCAGCTTCTGGCTTTTTCACACAACCCTGATGGAAGTAGTAGTCAAAAGGCTCTTTCAACTTTTTACAGCCTCTGGTGGATCACATTTCAGCTTGGGTATCTCGGTTCAGCTAGTTTTTGTTTCATCACTGCACCTGATGTGTTCCTGCATTAGTAATGGTGGCAGAAAAAAGGCCTAGAAAACTATCGCACTGCTTTTTCTTTCTAGGGAAGCTGTGCTTGGAAGTCTTTCTGTGGTCCTCTTACAAGTTTCTTCTCTTGCCTTTGTGGTGCCTGAGCAGCACAGTGTGAATACTGCAGGGCAAAAGCCTGTGTTTAGCAATGTCAACTGACTTTTGACCTTTCAAATATATTCAGTCATCAGACTGAAAAGATTAGCCATTGCTGGTTTACATGGAATCTTGCCTTTTGTGCATCTGCCAGGGGTATTCCTGAGCGCTACACAAACCCTTTTAATTTATATCTGCAACAGCTGGACTCAGACGTGTCAAGTGAATACAAACTGCTATTGAAGAAACCAGGATTCAAGCAATTATCAAGGAATAGGAAGATAGAACTGTTGGTATCCTCATTGCTGCAGGGTAGAGGTGTTCTGTGAAGTGACTGGGAAGTAGATTTGAGTATCACTTTTCACTGTGGTGATTTTTAGCTTAGATTTGTGAACTATAGAGGTAAGCCTTAGAGAGCTTTTTCTTCTATGATTTTTATGTGTTTTCCTGAAGTGTTTGTCAAGCTGTTCTCTCTGGATCATCTGCTATGAGTAACAAGTATTTTTGCATTAGAGTATAGTTAAGGTCGTCTTGAGTTGATACAGATCTTCACTTTGTGAGCTCTGATGATGTTCCAGAACCAGTCATGAACAGTTTTAGGGAGAAGAGGTGAAAGACAGGAATAGCACCAAATACAAGCAAGAACTTGGTTGAAGGAAGGAGTTGCACCTCTTCCATACTTCTTCACTGTTCTTCAACTCTTAACTACATTTAAGTAAATAATCTTCCAAGATATTTATTGAGTAAGAACTATGTTCTATTTGACCAAACTGTTCAGATGGTAAAAAAACTTCTATTTTCTTGGCAATTCAGGCTATGAATTGGGTATTCTTTCAAGCGGATACCACTATTATCTATCTGAACAGAACACTTTAAAACCTTGCACATTTGGGGCTCTCCTAAGAGGCTACGATGCACTTTGTAATGAATGGCTTTTATGTTTCCTTTGTCTTGCATAGTTATTGGCTTGTTTTCTTTTTCAGCTTCGAGCTCAGAACCAAGTACTGAAAAAAGGGGTTGTAGATGAACAAGCCAACTCTGCTTCTCTGAAGGTAATCTCTAAAAACTGCTCATGTCAGATGTCGTAAACTATGACAAAATAGGTAAATGGGAATATTTTTTACTTAAAGTATTGTGATTAAAAGAAGGAACTTGATTTAGTAAAAGAATTTCTGTTTTGCAGCTAGTTTTCATTGTTCTCTGTAAGTGCTCACTTTTACAAAGAGGCAGATTGCTTCTTGATTAATTTATAGAATGAAGTACCTACATGAGTGATTTGTGGGCAGCTCAAGGAAGTGAAATCTGTGTTTTAGTTTGAAAGCAATGCTTATCACCTCTTCAGTGTTCAAATAGTGAAGAAAGCAATTTTTTCATGTGTTCTTTTTTTAATGTGATACTTCTATTAAAAGCATGTGTGAAAGTCTTTTTTTAAATTTAAACTTTCTGGTCATTCAGGAGCAAGTGAAGATGAAGGATCAGTCACTGAGGAAACTGCAACAAGAAATGGACAGCTTGACCTTTCGAAATCAGCAACTGGCCAAGCGGGTGGAGTTACTTCAAGATGAACTTGCATTAAGTGAAACTAGGGGCAAGAAGAACAAGGTGTGTGCAAAAAAACGTGCTTGGCAGATGTCTGCTCCTCACTGAGCAGTGTCTTATCCCGATTTCTAGCAGTAGTTGCTTTGTGCCAAGGGTTGAGCTGAATGTTTTTGTCAGAACTTGTTGTTCGTGGACTAACACTTGATGTTAGTGAATATACCCACAAAATAGGTATTGATACATATAATACATGCTAAGTAGTTCTGTACTTTTCTTTCTAGTGCATCAGCTAACTGTTACTGAGTTGCTGTCACCCCTTCCAGATACTTATTAAGTGTTCAAAGAGCTGGGAAAAATCTTGAAGCCTTGTGATTAACCTACTGCTATGGAGAAAACTTATCACCCCTCATTTCCTATCCCCACTTCCTTGCTTTTTAATTTTAGTGTTAGTGTTTAACTCTTCAGCTTATGGTTGTAGCTTTTCCAGTCATCTCTTACGTGAATCTTGTCAAATGCTTTGAAATACACTTTTTTTTGTTAGTATTTATTATATTATTTCAAAATGACAGAATGATTTCAGTACTGCGATCTTGCTTTGCCCAAATTCTTGCTGTTTAAACCTGGTTATACCATGTTCTGTCTAAGATCAGTCATGTTTTCTGTAGGTAGCATCAGAATTCCAGGAGTGGTGTGTCTCGACTTCAAATAATTCTCGAGCATCCTTTGCTACCTTCCTCTTATGAGGAAACCCCTCTTAATTACTGTCCTCTCTTCTTTTTGGTTAGCTCCCCAAAAGCTGTGGCTATCAAGACTGACACTAAAGAAACTGTTCAACTGATTAATAATACGATCATCTTCCTTACTTTTTCCCTAAACTCTCGTCCATTTTTTTGCTATCCAGTTCCTTGGCAAACATAGTATCCCTGACTTAAGTTATTAATGCACCATAGTAGATTGTTCTTCAAAATGCAGTTTGACTCCCCTGTTCTTTTATTTCATGTTATGTAAATTATCATTTCACTAAGCAAGTTTCCACATTTTGAAGGACCTTGGCCTGGCTTGAGTAGCTTTGCAAAGCATTGCCACGGATTTCCCATTCAGTTGTCAGAATGCATGCTCCTGTATTTTTTTTTAAGTATTTGTACTACCTTTTAAATATGTTCCCTTTAGTTTTACCTATAGTGCCTCACTGACTACATACATTGTATTGAACATACCCCTACTAAATTCCATGTCACCCTTACTTCAGAGACTTGCCATTGGGAGATCATGTAAATAACATCTAAAACTAGTTAGATTAAGATTGAGATAGATGATCTGTGTCAGGCTGCAATCCTTCAGGCTCACGCTGTGTGCAATAAGTGTGCTTTTTGATATATTAGTCAATGTAAGATATACACTCAAGTGCCTCTATTGGGAATTAGCGATGGGAAATGTTTTCATATACTTGGGGATGGGCTTTGGGATACCCCCAGAGACTTGGAGATAACAAGTACATTTTCTTTCTAAAAGAAAAGTGCAGAATCCTCATCTCAGTTGAGTCAAGAGCAGAAAAGTGTCTTCAATGAAGATCTTCAGAAGAAGATAGAAGAGAATGAACGACTACATATACTTGTGAGTGAAACTTTTTAGCCTTTCTCTTCAGTTCAGAAAACTGGTCACACGAACAATGGTAGAGAAAATAAAATGCCATCTGAAAACTAGTGGGTTTAAAAGCTTAGCTGTATGCAAACCAGTAGATTAGATCAGATATCTTGTTTATAAAGATGTTCACTGGGCAAATGAGAAAGTATTTTGACTTCAGATTCCTCAGACAGTATATGGAATAACTCATATAATACGTGTTTTCTCATTTAGTTTTTTTAACTTTTGGTGACACTTAGCTACTCTACCAAAAAAAGCCATATAGTTGGTTACAGGGTTGAAACTTCTTTTTAGTTCACAAACTGTTTCAGAATTGCGTTAAAGCTTAAAATACTTTCTGCAAGTTGACATAATTAAATCAGGAATTACTTTACAGAAATCTTGAGGAAAAACCTTCTGGCTTAAGTTTTATTTTTCAGGTGTCTGCTATTAATCCGCAATATATTTAAGGAATGCTTGGTACTACAAAACTTTAATACACAAAAAGTACTTTGTTCCTGAATCTTTTCTCTGTGAATATTGTAATAAAACTTCTATTTATCTGAGAACTTGTGCTTGTTATTAACTTGGACCAGCTAATTAAGTTGGTGTAACTCATAGGATAAGATTCCATAGTAAAATTAAGCTTTCATAGGAGCTCTGTTTTTCTCCTTTTTAGTTCTTTGAAGCAGACGAGCAGCACAAACGTTTAGAAGCAGAGCTGAGAACTAGACTTGAAGTTTTGGAAACCGATGCTGCCCAACATCAAGCTGTGGTGGACAGTTTGACAAGGAAATACACGGATACCATAGAAAAACTGCAGACTGATAAAGCCAAATTGGAAGTAAGGAGTTTCTCTTAATTGCAAGCTTGAAAAGTTTTGAAATGAAATGTCTTGCTGTGTCAGTATTTACATTGTGGGATTATCTTCTTGCATAAAGATCAAGTCTCAGACACTAGAAAGAGAAGCTAAGGACTGTAGGCTTCGAACCGAAGAATGGTAAGTGTTTTTATTTAATATAATGAAAAAATGATTTAAAGAAATAACTGCTTTAAAAGATTGAGTTATTTTTAGAGAATAATACCTTTAAACATAATTTAAAAAAAAAAACCCTAAACTTTGATAAAACTCAGAATACTGGGCAACAGCACATTAATGTCAAGACTGTGCAGGTCAGACCCCTTTTCTTTCTGCTTGCTATGTAACTAGGCAAAAAAATTCCACAGATTTAACTTTCAGTAAGAGCAGTTTTGTCGCCAAGGTTATTTTAAGTAGCTGTGAAGTTGATGAAAGCTTGAATTTATTTGTAATGGAATGCTATAAAAAGTAAAGAAACCACTCAACTTGCATGAAACAAAGATACTGATTTTTTTACAAACTCCTTCTAAAAACAAAGCTTTGGGTAAGGTATGCTGAGACAACCGACTGAAAAGTTTCAAAAATTCCCCTCCACCCCAAAAGCTTCTTGAACAATCGCTTTTGCTTCAGGTACAACACATTTAGCTAGAATATTGAGAGTTTTTGTTGAAGGATTGTATTGTGAGTTTTGCAATGCCTTCATTGTCTTGAAGACAAATTGTACAAAGTGGAGAGAAGTTGAGGACTGTGCGACAAATCAAATTAGGGTGCACTTCTCTGAAATTCATTAAGATGTGTTTTATTAAAGATATATCTGCACTATAGATCTTTAATAGATAAAATGCATAGTCAATGATCAGGTGAAGAGTTCCTTTTTTCAAATGGTAACCTTGAAGTTTGTTTTTTAACTGTTTTGATAGATGCAAAGATATTTGAATTCCAATAACTCTCCTCTAACGCAGGTCAGGGTTTCACTAAGAATGACTTGCAAAAGACAATGAAAGCTGCATTTTGCTGCTGTTTGCTTTTTTGTGGTATTTGAAAGTCAGTCTGCTGCTGTTCAGTTCAGAGCATGTCTGTCATGTGCTATGATGACTGGGTAACTAATGTCATTGTAAGAAATTGTCCCTACCATTTGAGAAGGGTGGGTTTTTACAAATAATAAAGCCTCACACTTTTTTTTTTTTTTAAACACTGCAATCAGTATCTAATGAACACATGACAGAAGATGTCTTTGAGAGAGCTGCTCTTCTGTTTTCCCTCTCCTTTCAGGGACAGGGATCCCTTTGCCTCTGACACCCACGCTTTATTCACTAAGCCGGGGGATATGAGACTTGACAGCCCGCATGCCTTAGAAATTAAAGGGCAGAATGTAGAACAAGACATGTCAAACTACCTGTTTGCCATTCCTTTATAGTACAAAAAGGAAACATCCATACTTTTGCAGTTTGAGCTTATTTTTCTATCATGCCCAGTGCTACTGCGGTTCGTGCTGTACAGTTTCTGTGCAATTTTGGAGCTGCTCTTAAAGAAAAGTATTTGTTAATGTGCATGAGCTACTTGTTGGCCACTTTCTTCATATCTTGCTTGTCTATTTTTGATTATTTTTCCTTGCTAGTTCTGATAAATTTCCATGTATCAAATGTTTTTGTAAAAAAAGGAAAAAAACCTGTCACTTTGACACGTTCCCCCCACCCTCCACTATATGTGCAGGAGTTCTAGATGTCAAACAGGAAGCAAAACAATGAAGAATTTGGGGGCCTAAGTTGGGTAAGGTGTGGAATTTAGTCTGAATCAATATACAGTAATCTCTGTTGACATATGTATATAATTATGGAATATGTTACAGTTCATATCAAGAATCTATACTAATTATATTAGTAAACTTAATAACTTAGGTTCACATCTAAATACACAATCGAATGCAAGTGAAGAAATCTAGAGGAAAAAACACTTGAGAACACATCAAAACCTAATTCCCAAGTCTTGTGGGAATGGGCCATATCATGTTAGTGTTTTAAATATGGGGCTTTGAAAAGCTTGTGAGGTATTTCTAATCGTGATGTATCTTCGTTAACTGGATTATCAATGACTCACTACTTGCATATTGGAATTCCACATTGGATATGGAGTAATTAATTTAAAGGCCCTTTTGCATTCCCATTCAAATTCCAGTAGAAAATAATACCTTCATATAACTTATACAATAATTGCATAACTGGAAAATAGCAAAGAATAGCTCTGAAGTAAATTGATTTTTCTCAAGAGTGGAATTTAGGTTTTACAAAAATCTATTGTATCCTTCACTGCATTTGTCGGGGATTAAAATGCAATGTTACGTATTAAGTATAACATAGAGGAAAAATTATTCCTACTGTCTTGTTTCTGTCTAACTTCTGGAAAGAGACAGGTACCTGTACACTCAAGGGATGCTTGTATATTAAGTGTAACATAAAGGAGGAAAAATTATTCCTACTGTCTTGTTTCTGTATTAAGTATAACATAGAGGAAAAATTATTCCTACTGTCTTGTTTCTGTCTAACTTCTGGAAAGAGACAGGTACCTGTACACTCAAGGGATGCTTGTGGTAAGCTATGGTGTTGGTGATACAGATTAAATTTTAAAGGTTTACAGTGTGTGTGTGGTTTTTCGTTTGTCTTTTTGTTATTTAGCCAGCAACAGTTAAAGAATCTTCAATCAGCTTTGGGCAGTAGACTGGAAGAATCTCTATGCATAATCAATGAAAAAGTACCTTTTAATGACACAAGTACGTATTATCTGGGTTTCTTGTTTAATTTTGGGTATCCATCTTGAGGAAGTACTCCTTAATATGTATTAGTTGGAAGACATGTTGGATGTCTGAACGTCAATTACTTGGAGGTAATTGTAGTAAGTAGTCATAATGCTTGTTATAATCTTGTTTAATGATCTTAAGATAGCAAGTTTTTATACTTATATATCTTATGAAAACTTTTGAAGGCTTTTGAGTAATCTACCACTTGTCTTGCTCAGTGTTGACAAAATATCTTATGAAAACCTTTGAAGGCTTTTGAGTAATCTGCCACTTGTCTTGCTCAGTGTTGACAAAATATTGTAGAAGGTGAAAGAATGCTGTCAATTTACTGGTTTCTCTACAGATATTTCTTTAGTTACTAATCTTGAAGAATATTTTTTTGGCAGGGTCTGTTCAAGAGTTATAGTAAGTTGTGATGGGGATAATGTAGTAGCTGCAGAGAAGTGGACTTAATGAAGCATTGCATCAATAATAGTCCATACTTAGTGAGAAGCCCCTCAGCATGTCTCGTGTCTGATCAAAGCACACCCAGACTAGTTCTTATCTGTGGTTTCTCTCAGACTTGTTCATTTTTTCAGGGGAAAAAAAAACCTTTGAATTTGGGGACTTTTACTTGAAGCAATCTTCTTTTTTTATGCTACCTTTCCAACTGCTACTAGATAAATTGAAGTGCAGAGGCTATCATGAAGGGAGACGAGCTCAGCCTTTATATTGTTTTGGTACGAGGATCAGTTAGTATGTGCTAAATCAGTGCTGTGTACTGGATGCTTTTGAAAAGATCTTGAACACGAGGTTGTACTTGGGCAGGCAGTGGTCTGTACTCTTCTGGCAGTGAAACTAAGAGGGCCTGGAGTAGTGAAAAAGCTGAAAGTAGTGGAGAAGGAACACAGAAAGGAAAACAGGCTGTTGAATTTCTGATAGGCTTTTTTGGTAGCTTTTGCATTTTCTTTTTTTTATTCAGTTGAAAACTTGATAACATTTGGAGTAGCCTTCAGTTCTCTAAAATCTGATCTGGCAGAGTGCTGTGGGGATGAGCCTTTTATGTTCTCCACTGGGTTGACAATCCAATCTTGGCTTAGAAACATCAGATCATCTTCTCTTTAGAAAATGTTGACTCTCATACAGCATGTTATAGAATCATAGAATATGTTGGGTTGGAAGGGACCTTTTAAAGGTCATCTACTCCAACCTCCCTGCAGTAAGCAGAGACACTTTTAAGTAGATCAGAGCGCTTAGGTGTTGGTGCACTGAGCTGATACCGTTTTCACGTATTTTCTCTCACAAAGATGACTTTGCCTGGCATCTGCTGCCTATTTCTGCTTCTCTGGCTTCTTTAGCTGATTCTTTTTTTTTTTTTACAGGAGGTAATCATAGAATGGTTTGGGTTGGAATATAGAGTTCCAACCCCCCCTGCCATGGGCAGGGACACCTCCCACTAGACCAGGTTGCTCAAAGCCCCATCCAGCCTGGCCTTGACCAGTAGCTAATGATAGCCTTGACCTGGCTAGTGTTGTAGTGAGAACTTTAATACAAATAATTTATTTGCTCACTTGGCTGCCCTGGGGTAATGTTTTTTTCTCGTGTAGAAAACACTGCAAATAGTGGACAGATCTTTAGTGACAGAATGAGAGAAAGTCAGGAAATGTCTGCTATGGATTCCAACTGTTTTGCTATAGGCTATGTAGCTGGTTTTAAGTATAACTAGCAGCCTGCTTCAGTTTCAATAGCTATTAAATGACTTGTTGAGTGCTGAGCGTGATTTCAAGAGTAGAAATGGTTCAGAAAACTTTTTTGTTATCTTTCCTTATGAGTAGGATTTGGTAATTTTGGACAGTGGATTTTGTAGTGAATACAACTATCTCTTCCCATGAGTTATTTGCCAAAAGTGAATGATACAAAAGGAGTAAGAAGCTGTAAACTTCCTTTGTGTGCAAATTTTAAACTAAAATGGTTATTACTACATTTTAGTTCAGGATGAGTATGATCCCTTTTAAATCTGTAAGATTTTGCAAGTTGTTCTCTAGGTACAAATATCGCTCTACCTCTTTAAAAATTGTGCCTGTCTGTAACTGAATAATCATTCTAGTTGCTCTGTAACTGAAACAGAATGCTGAAATATGTGGAGAGTACATCTTATTCTACATTATCAACAAATCCAGTACATACAGGAGCTTTTTTTTTTTTAAAAAGCAAACCATTAAAACAATACATTCATCTTATTTGACAGTCCCTGGAATGTAATTGAAATTTGAAGATCATCTTGAATTCTTTAAGGCTTTTTTTTTTTTTTAAAAAAATCTTTCACTCTTAGTGATGAATACTGTTTTTCTGGGCAAGAGGATTCTGCTCTTACCTATCAAATTCAGGGTGTTCAGATTGTAAATCAAATTTAATCATCTGAGGCAAGTATGAAAGTGCTTTCTCTCCACCTCGCCGCAGTTCTGAAGCGAGGATGTTTAGGCCTCCTTTATTAAAGCCAATTGTCTGTATCTTTTTAGTTAACATTACTTACATCAACTGCAATATTACTGCAATTAAATCTTATATTTAAAAAAAATTAATTACTATTTACCAATCAGTGTCTCTTAAAAAAACAACACATGCTTTAAGTGCATATAACTCAACTTTCTGTCCTGTAGGATCTAATCGATACAACGCTCTGAATGTACCACTGCACAACAGAAGATACCAGGTGAGCACTTTTTGTGGCTTCATATGTAAAGGTGCAACTTTCTCCACAGACGGTGAATAAACCCAGTCATTTTTAGTGACCCAAGATGGCAGAAGATAGCCTGTCCTATCATGATATTCCAAGGAAACTTCTGTCCACAGAGCCTCTGTGCTTTTCAAAGGTAGTCTAGACTGGTCTTGTGGCAAGTTGTCTGCTCACCTCACTTCACTAGAACTAATCCATTGACTTCTGGCTGATGATCACTGTAGGTATTAACTCAGATGTACCTTTTTGAAAAGAATGTCAAAAAGGTTTAATATATGTTACCTATTACAGTTGTAAGAAATACTCTATGACTATGCCAACCTGCAGTAAGCTAGAACTTTTCAAAGTTGCTTGAAATTACATTAGTTTAGAGTTCTTAAGCTTTTTTTGTTGGGGAAAAAAGGTAGTTTTGGTGTCTAAATTCCTTTGTTTTCAAACCGAGCTTCTTCAGTAACATCACTTGAGCCCCAAAGAATGTTTGCATTTATAAACTATACACGGGTGTGTATGCTAGAGCATCATATTAGTTAATATTACTTGTCAATTCTTTTAAAGAATGTATTCTTGTGAACTCTGCCTGGTTCACTTAGATTTTTATGGGTGACTTCTTGCCAAAACACCTTACTTGCAGCCAAATCACCCTTATTTATTTAAATGTTATTTAAAAAAAGAAAGTTTTGTGTTCACTACTGTAACTTCATCAATTTCCTTGAGAATGTGGTTTATTCAGCATTTAAAATTGAGCATTAGTTTTTCTGTGAATAGCTTAATGTATTAAGGCTTTTTATAGTAGTAAATCAGATACCCTGATGCTAGCCGTATTTTCTGGCTTTAATGCCACTGAGGATGGGCTTCAAAGCACTTGGTGTTTTTCTCTTTGCTTGTATAGTATGTCTTGAACCTTCAAGTTTAGTGCATTCAGATGCCACTGTAGAAAGATTTCCAATAGCTCTTTTCTCCTTTCTTCAGAAGTGCCCATAAAGAGCCCTTGTTCCTAGTATGTCTGCTGTGAGGACAGGTGACCTGCTGTCCAGTTTTGTGACTTAAATCACAAATAGTTGCTCAGTACTAAGAAAAATATGAATAACTGCATGGAGAGTTTCTCCCTTTTCTTTCTGCCAGCACTAGGTCAGCCAGCCTCACACATCAAGGTCTGCAGACCTGAAAATGTTCCAGGGCAGCTTTTTATTACTGGCTTTGCCAGCGGAGGCAAAATACTAGTGTACAAGCACAGGCTGCAGTGTAAAGGACAGCAAAACAGTAATATTGTTTGATTTCCATCCTTGCATAGCTAATAAACATACACAAATTGAGTATGACGACTGCATTAATTACTTGCCACCATACATGATCCGTAATCAAGATTCATTTGATTTAATACTTTATTGAAGCATTAGGAACACATCTTTGCAGGATAAGTCATTCTTTGCTGAAATGTACTTTAACCTTATTCTCTCCTCCATAAATCGCAACAGTGTGGTTTTCTCTGCTGCCTTTGCTTTTTCAAAATGTTCCATTTTGGATTAATTTCTTGGATAGGTCCCTACTTCACTGAAGCCACAGAACAGCCTTATTCATAAGCAGCAGCTCAGTTCTGTCCAGATGGGAAACTAAAAATTGAGTGTTACTGGTTAGAGAAGCAGACATCTTTTTATTCTGGGAGAAAAACATCATTGGTTTTTTTTACTAATTAAAGTTAGGTTTTCTTACAACCAGGTGTTACAAACTTCTCAATATCATCACACTGAAAGAACAGAGCTGTTGTCAGGAATTAGTCTATTGGTGTTTAGAAATCTTAATTTCAAAGGTTTCTGTAATTGTACTAACCTCTAAGTGTTCTTGTGGCCTGTAATTTGAGGAATGCAGCCAGAAGCAAAGCATCCCCTGTTGTATGAAATAAAAACATACATTGTCACCATAGAAAAACGTGACCTTCTGTGTTGCATTGTAGTTTATTCTTAAACTGTAAAAATTGAGTTAAGGTGATGCTGCTATGTATTTTAGGCTGAACTAGTAACGAGAGAAATCCATAGCAATTTTTTGTATCCAGCCATAGTTTTTTTTATATTTAAATAGGTACATGTCAAACACAATCATTTTATAATTGTCTTTACAGCTGAAGTTGAGAGACCTTGCTGGTCAGGCGCTGGCTTTCGTTCAAGAACTTGTAACAGCTCTTTTGAACTTCCATACGTACACCGAGCAGAAGGTGCAGATCTTCCCCATTGATTCTGCAACAGATACTATATCCCCGCTAAATCAGAAGGTAAAACTTACAGATTTCAGCTACGAGTATGTTCAGTTATGTAGATTTTGAGTGAATAATCTCAGTCGGGCAAACTTCTGCCACCTTTACTGGAATGCTGTGAGTGTGTTCCTGAGACGCAGCCTCTCCTGCATGAGAAGTCTTCTACTGGGTGTAAGTGGGTGAAGGTATAGCTGCAGAGAATCCTCTTGCCCTGTGCCTCTGCTACAAAAGCAATATAATAATCAAATTAAGGCTTTGCTTTGTAAGTGCTAAATTAAAATGCATTTGTCAAAAAGTTCAGCTGACTTATTTGAAAATAATACACAAATACTGCACTGCTGAATAGATGCTTGTCTTAATCTGCTGGGCCATGGGAGATTTTGAGACAGAATGTCTTGCATTTCAAGCATTTAACTGTAATGTGAAATAAACTGGATGCAAGGTAGGCTTATGAACGAGGGAATTGGGACTTTCTTCCCTTGGCAAAAACCAACTTTATAATCTGATTTTAGGCTATTTGGGTAAAGACCTTTCCTGTAAGTGGTCTGAAGCTTAGAGTCTGTAAAGTACATTAAAATGATTATGAGAAGCCTGACCTGTCTCTTTCTGTGCAACTCCATGGGAAGGCTCTTCTGAGAGTACCATCCAGAAGCTGTGAAGCTGCATCTTTTGGCTTTCTATGCCCTGAAGCATGGGAAAGGACTTGTGTGGGGATGCATATCTTTACACTTTGGAATAAAATCTCTTTAACATCTCAGTTGTTGACTTCATAGTGCAAGTGGACCTATATGCATTAAGTTGCTGGGTGACAGTATTTTCTTAGACTGTAATGTCAGTTTAGTAGTTTGTAGGGCTCAGATTTAAGCTACTGAGGTGGACATGATTTGCGTTCATCAAAGGGCTGCAATGCATGTAGTGGCAATGTTAACTATCATACAACTCTTCCGTTCTTAGGAAGACCTCCTTAATCTCTTTGCAGGCAACAAATATGCTTGTGAAGGTGTTTATCCTCTAGAGACATCTCACACTATTTACCTTCTTGGTTGTTTCAACTGTTTGAATCAAGAATGTGCTTTTACAGAGGTTCAGATAGATCTTAGTTTGAGAACAACGTTTTCTTGCTCCTGCCACCAAAAGTGCTCCAAATTGCATATCCTTCCTGTGAAAACTACACAGCTTTGTCATCTTCCATATTCTTTGGGGCAGGAACTGTGTCTCCTTGTTTTTTGTGGCCCAGTGTGGTGACAGACAATACTGCAGTTCGTGCTAAGGGAATAAAATCGGGTTTCTCAGTTATCGCTTTTCATGCATTTTTTTCTTAATGTCCTAGTTAACACTTCTTTGTTGCCTTTCAGCAGAGAAGTGCTTTCTCACAGCTGAAATCTGCAAATTAATCAGAACCGTAATTTGATTCTCCTTTTCTGATAATTGATTCAGTAGTTCAGGCTTTGTTTGTTTTCATAATTATGTCTCTTGTAGTCTGCCCCGTGGTGTATTCATGACCTAATTGCCTCAGTGCACGTGACCTTGCAGGGCTTTTGCAGTGACTTTGTGACTTTCCAGCGGTGAAGCATCTTTTATCGCTCCCTGAAGCTCCTGTTGCTCCTGGGCTTTTTTTGATCAATTTATCAATTTGCTTGGCAAGTGTTCTCAGTGTGGTGTTGGCTCCTCCACTGAGCAGTTCAAAAACCTCCTCTTAATGTGGCAGAGAGAATGAGACAAGTGTCAGGTAGTGGCTTAGCACACTTGCACTGATTTATCTTTCCCCAACTCCAGGTCTTGTCTGGCGCTTTCAAGCTATTTTCCCCACCAAACACTCAAAGTAGATGTGGACAATTCCCACCCAGGTTCAAGTATTCCTTTTCTCTTTAAGTATTGGATTGCTGGGTTCTGCTGGGTCTTCAGCATTGTGCCAGATAACTCCAGTCCTCTCTCTTGCAACACAAGTCAGGAGTATTCTGCATGTGTTATTTCTTCCTGCTTAGATTTAGGAATTTTTCCCTAATTCCATCCAGATTTGTGCATGCATGAATGAGAGCTTGGTGTCTCTCTTTTCTTTTTAACACTGTGTTACTGCACTATAATGATACAAGAAATAATTAAAATTTCTCGTACCCTATTTGGCTGGGATCTTTAGCTGCTACTGTGGTATGAATAATCAAAGGTGAAGGTATCTTTCTGTGGGGATAAAATAAAAAACCAAGATCACTTTTTGAATACCTACATCAATCTGTGGAAAAAGCTTTTTGTAGTAATGTGGTATCAAAATTGAAAGCTGATGGTATTGTTATGATTTGATTGTGTGTGAGTAAACAGCTTTATTCTCAGATACACTTTTTTGAATGTGAAATTAGAATAGAATTTATTTAAGCAACTTTTAGCAAAGGCAGTTCTGTGAGGACAAAGTTTCATAATTGCCCAAACCTGTCATAGTTCTTGAAAGGAAGAATTCTCCCTTTGATTAGTTACTGCTCCATCCTTTGCATTGGTGTAAGCGTGCTTTGACCTGTGTCTGGCTACAGAAGAAGATTAAAATGGATCTCTTGCTGTCAGTTTTAACTGGGTTTAGTTCTTCAATACTTAGCACAGCATGGCTTGTGCTGATGCACAGGCTGAGAGGCAAACAGCAGCTGGGAGGAAGGCAGGGTCGTTTATTCTGGTGGCTTAATGGTGCATGGGTCTAGCCTGAATTTGATGGAGTTGAGAAGGAATGCAATAATGTTTAAACTTGAAAAGCAGGGGTTTCATGTGCTGTGCATGGCAGTTAAACGGAGATGGGGTGCTGTGGCAAAGCCCGAGATGGGATTTTGCCCAGGCTTCTATTGTAGCCTTCACTATTTCTCACTTTCCCTCAAGAAGTGTGTTTGTGTGTCCTGCAGAAGAGGTTGCTGCACATCACTTGACTATTATATCTTATTATTAACGTCCTGGGGATCATTTAAGATGATGGGCGCTTTGCTAAAGCGGACTGTTCAGCTGTTAACTTGAAACAGTTTGCAAGAGCCTTTAGAAAGCACCATTTTAAAATCTCTCTGTGCTCAGTTCTCACAGTATCTTCATGAAAATGCTTCGTACGTTCGCCCTCTGGAGGAAGGAATGCTTCACTTGTTTGAGAGTATTACGGAAGATACTGTGACAGTCCTGGTAAGATTTCTTATTTTCAGTATTGAAAAAGACTTTTACAGAGCAAAAATACTTACGTGTTGTTTTTCCTTCCAGGAAACAGCTGTGAAATTGAAGGCCTTCTCCGAAAATTTAGCTTCCTACTTATGCTTTTTAAGAAAGATTCTTCCTTATCAGTTAAAAAGGTACTTTTGATTTGATAGATCAATTAAAGAGGCACTAAGCGTCTGGCTTGCAGCATTGTCAGCATCTACAATTCAAATATTAAGTCAATCCTCAAAGTGTTCTGGCTTAAAAGGCTGGATTTTTTTTTTTGCCAGCTGGTTTTTGAGTCTTTAGGTTATGCATGTTTTTTTCAGCCAGGTATTAGAGCTAAAAACATATTGTTAGGGCCTTTTTTCTCCCCTCACAGATGAGACTTTAATGAAAACTGCACAGACTGTTAGTGTTTTTTAATGTTATTCAATAGGATTGATGCTATTCAGGTATAATATGCTAAAATTGTTAACTTCTTGAGCCTGTCAGAAGATTACTTACGTAGTAAATAGAGCAATGTAGTAGAACTTGGCCAGATCCACATACCTTCTGCAGTGAAAATCTTTGTTCCCGAGTGGGTAGAAGAGAGGTGATATATTAATGCAAAGGACTGCTTAAATAGAAGTTTTAGATTAAGGAGGAAGAAAAAGCTTGGCTTATGCCTTCTTTATACCTGTTCTGCTGCTCCTAAGGAAGTAAGAGGTAAATTATATATTTTAGAGGAAAAAGTCTTTAAACTTATGCAATCAGTTACTTGCTGTGAGTGTAAACTGTTCCTGGCTTGTGTCTGAAGCTCTTAAGAGTGGGGATAGTACATGCACACAGTAATTTTCATGTATTGTTAAGTTACTTTGATATATTAATCTTTTTAAAATAAGGTCCTAGTCTTTTGTTGCTTTGGGCTGTGGATGTAGAGAACACTAGTTATCTACTCCAAAACTCATGAACGTTTTTTTAAGATAATGGCTCACTTTTTTTAAAAAAATATATAATTCATATATTCCTAGTTTGGAAGAAGAGTGTGAGTCTTCTCTTTGCACAGCTGCTTTAAGAGCTAGAAATATGGAGCTACACAGAGACATGAAAAGGTTGACTGCAGTCTTTGAGAAGCTACACACCTACATTAGTCTTCTTGCATTACCAAGTAAGTGCCAGTTTTGGCTCTGTTGGTTACAGTGTGACTAGAAGGTACAGTTTTTGTTTTGGACCAGTTCAAAAAGAAACCAAAATCCTGAAATAAACCATCCCCAAACCCCACCACACCAAAAAACCACACACACACAAATCCCACTCTTACAGTAGGGGAAAACAAGGCTAATGCTGCTCTTTAGATACGGTCTAAACTGTGGGGCAAGTGAGTTGTGCACTATGAAATTGGCAATAAGCTACATTATATTATTAATTATCCCTTCCAGTTCCTCCTGTTCTATTAAACGACAACTCATGGTAATGACTAAGTAAAATCAAGCAAAACCTTTGTGTATGTGTGTGTGGAAACTATATCCAAATGCATACTGTAAATAATAAGAGGAAACAGTTATTGTATAGCATCAGGTTATTTCAGCCTTCACTTTTTAGAAGGACCCAGATGGTCCTTCCCACAACTGTGAGCATGTAAATCTTTCTGCATGCATAATTGCTTTTTGAGACCTGAATAGTTGATATTTGTAAAATCTAAATGAAATTTAGGAAACTTGGAAGTCTTTTATCTGCCTACTCTGGCAAATTTGGGGTGTGTGTGTGTATATATATATCTCTAATATTAAAGGAAGGGGAAATTTTAAGTAAGTGAATCTTTTTCTGATTCTTTAGTTCTCAACATACCCCACATGAATGTTTCTAGTGGGTGGAAATCAGATGATGAAGAATCATCTTTTTTTCCATCGTGTTTGAATCTTTTTTTTTTTCCTTTCTGCATTGTAATTCTAGGTACAAAGCCAGAAGGACTTCTTAGGACAAATTACAACTTTGTGTTTACAAACATTGCTACAAGTCTTCATGGATTTCATGATATTTTAAAAGGTAAGAGTACAGGAATAGTGGTATGTTTCAACTCCTCTTTTTTCTGTTTAACATAGCTCACATGCACTCTCTCTGTAACAATGTCAAATGTGCAATATGTGATAAATCTGCTTTGTTTTGTCCTTTAGAAACCAAGATGAGAGACTAAACCTGCTGACTACTTGTTTTAGACATTCACGCATCTTTTTCATGCCTCCATTCTGTTAGCTTTGTTCTTCTAAATTGCTGGAATATTTAATTGTGGCACTTCCTGAGCAGTGTTACTGTAGTTGTAGAACTTCATTGCTCTAGTAGAACAAGCATGCAGAATGGAATGCCATTAAATATATTTTCCTCCACTTCTGTACTGTTGACCTAGGGCCTGCCTTCAAAGTGGAATTGTTCCTTACAGTTCTTAGGTTGATTATCTATTTTTAAGATGAGTATGTAATCAAAGCTTACAAAGAAGTCTGTTTTCCTTTTGAAATTCAACTTCCTCCTTGAAAATGGCTTACCTTCCTTTTCTCAGAAGGACGTGGATATGTTACTTTCTCAAATACTTTTCCCTTTTAAGTCATGTGAGCCTAAGACTCGGATATTGAATGCGACTAAAAATTCTGCCTTTAGTGTCCTGATGTAAACATGTGGAAATTGAAAGTATAGTTGTGGAGTGGATTGCTATGGATTGGGTATGTTGCTATGGCTTTTGGGATATAGAGTACACTTAAATATACACCTTTATTCTGTTCTGTGTAACAGGCATGTTTATTCCTTATGATCACAAAGTTGTCAAAGGTAGTATATCAGACAACCCAGTATCCAGAATAAACTTTTATACATCTCTCTTAAAGATGGGAAAAGTATTTGAAGCTGGAGGTCATAAGCTGAATTTGAAAATGGTTGCTTAAATAGACAAAAAACTGTAGTTTGACATAAATGTGTCTTCTCTTTTTCTAGACCTTTCCAAGCACTACAGTCAGAAAGCTACTTTAGAACAAGACGTTCCAACTGCCACACAGAAACTCATAACTACAAATGACTGTATTTTGTCCTCTGTTGTGGCTTTAACGAATGGAGTGGGCAAGGTAATGAATATTCTTGTTTCAATATAATGCCCTGACTCGTGCAGGTATTTTTTCTTTTTCCCCAAAAAACCTTGACTGAATGATTTGGAAAACACAGGTGTGCCTCTGATATTAATAATCTGTAGTATCAGGTTTGTTCTAAAGTATTTTAAGGCAACAAGATAAAAACAACTGAATGGATGATAAAAGTAGATAACTGTGAAGAGGATGCTTTGCATTACTAAGGTCTAACTTCTATGTGGAAGAGCCTGTACCTTGTTTGAATTTCTTGTTGTAAAGTCCAGTTTCACTAAACAATTGTCTCTTGAAAGAGTAATTGCTTCTCTGAATCTTTCTGGTCAACTTAATTTGAAAAGTGGCTTTTCTTTATTTGTCTAGATTGCCTCGTTCTTTAGCAACAATTTGGATCACTTCACTACTTCGTTGAGCTATGGCCCTAAAGCAGGGACAGAGTTCATCAGCCCTCTTTCAGCTGAGTGTATGCTGCAATACAAGAAAAAGGCGGTTGCTTACATGAAGTCTTTGAAGAAGGTTTGTTCAGCTAATGTGCTTGCCCAGAGAAAGCACAAAGTTGATAGTTGGTTATGCCAAAGAGAATACAAACTACAGATTTCTAGTGCTTGGAATAGATCTTCCTCTGAATGAGAATCTTTGGCTGAGGAAATGGAACCCTTAGAGCAATAATGCTATTGAAAAATTTACAGAGTGCAGTTGCCCTCACAACTAAGGGTATGTGCCAATTCTGCTGTTACCCATTTCCACTAATTATTTCTGTGCCAAGACTCCAAGGAGAAGAGGGTAGCTGCTTATATAAATTTCCTCTTGTATTCACCAGGAATATGGAGTGAATGACATCATGTTCTCATGCTTGAATTTGCTGTTATACAGTAGAGAGCAACAGGGGAAAGAAAAAGCAGCTGAAAAGGAGGAGAAAATGTGCTCACCCAAAAGGGTGAAACACTGCCAGATCTCCCTGTTGTCTCTGTTAAAATTAATGATGAAGTGATGGTGTACTTAACAGTTATCATTAAATCACTTAGTGCAATGCTTATAGAGTGGACCTTAAGATGCATTCGATCATTAGGCAACACCTGGAGTTTTCTGAGCACTTTTTAATCAAGTGTGCATTTTGGGGTGGTATTTTTTGTGAGCTTAAATCATTTTTTCTACTGGCCGGTAAACACTTGGAAGATGTTTTTCTTCCCTTTACTAAAGTAAGGAGTGCAATAAGAAAACGACTGTAGAGTAGGTATCCTGTTCTACTGTGAATCATGTTTTGAGGTTTCTTTTATCCTTTTGTAGCCTTGTGCAGATTCGGTGCCTTATGAAGAGGCTTTGGCTAATCGCAGAGTTCTTCTGAGTTCCACAGAAAGTAGAGAAGGACTTGCACAACAGGTATTCTGGTGTAACATCTACTAATGTATATGATAGTGTATTTTATACATGTAAAGTAGCATAAAATAGTCTTCACATACTGATGTGTTTGGTTGTACATATATATGCACACACTGCAGCTTAAAATTAGACTGCAGATACCATATTTGTAGAATTTGAAAGTAAAACTTAACCCTTTTCAGGCAGGGTTGTCCAAGAGTTGTTCTCCTTTACCTGCGGAATGTATGTGTAGTTATAAGAGACAGAATGATGCCACAGATGCCACCATTTTATGAATGCAAAAAGTCAGGCAATCTTTCATAATTCAAATGCAAAATAAAGACAAGCATGAGGCATACAAATGTACTTATTTCTAATAACTATGTACAGTCTTGGGTGCTTTTTTGGACTATGGAGGATTTATTAGCACTGGTTAAGAACAATTATTTTTCTTTTCAGTTGAAGTCTATTAATAGATTAGTTTATCATTCTTGCAGTGTGCATATATATATATTTTAATTTTTTTCTGGAAGGTGAGGCAGAGGGAGGTTAAATGGTATTTAAAATGCCTATACAGTTTGCTCATCTCCTCATATGACTGAGACTAAGTGATTAATACTGAAAATTCTTTATTAGCTGGGTGTTCAGACTGTGCTTGAGTGGCCATCATTGAACTTTCACAGAAGGAAGACTTCAGTGGCTTTTCTTGTAGTGGACTACATTCACAGTGTGCCAGTAAGGATGAGATGAATTTCAAAAGAAATGTGTGGAGTGATAATGATGTGTACTATTCCATAGTTTTCTTATCTGGACAAGTGAGTTCTTCTGTCTCTATGAGGTGGGGCAGCCAGGAGGTGAGAGAGTGATTGTATTTCTAGGGACCAAACCACAACACTAGCATAGAATGAGACAATGCTAGTGCCAAGCACGTATCTTTCATGTTTTCATCGAATTTTTCCCTGCTTTTTCACCTAATATGGCATTGCCAGTTCTATGAGCTGTAACTTCGTGATGCACTTGTCATTCCATTTAAGTGATATGGTCATTTTTGACACATAACCACAGTAAAGCATACAACTGGAATCAGCAGTGTTTATCTGCTGCTTTATTCATTAGTGCACTTCCGCAATGGTTGAAAATAATACTGTCTTCAAACATTCTGTGTGTGATGTTTTTCCCCCCTTGCATCCAATAACCTGGACTGTAAACTTTCCCTCCTAAAGGTCCAGCAGAGTTTGGAGAAAATTGCGAAACTTGAACAAGAAAAAGAGCACTGGATGTTGGAGGCCCAGCTGGCTAAGATAAAACTAGAAAAAGAAAACCAAAAACTGAAGAACTCTCTTAGTGGACATTTAACTGAAACTATACAAGAGCGTTCCGTTTTGCCAAATGTAGCTGAACAAAAGAAGGAAACCACAGAAAAGAGTCCAAGGGAACCTATTAAAAGTACTAGTCTGGTAAGTGACCTTTTTCCTTCAATAGAGAAAAATCCACTTTCTTCAGTAGTGGTACTGTTTGAGCTGTGGAACGCTAATAATTAAAGCTTTTTGACTGTGAAATGCACTCACACTTGGGCTTCTTGTATTTGCAAAGCTGCTTGCTAATACTTTCTGCAGAGTTTGGAACTTCTTGGCTTTTGAGACCTAGTATCTGTAGTATCATAGAGACGTTTTTGTAGTTTTGTACTGGTATAACTTGGGGGGAAAATAATACATGCTCAACTGCTAGATTTTTCTGACTTCGTAGTCAGGAAGCCTTGCAAGTAGTATAGATCTCTGGTCAGCTCTGAGTTTCCAGTACTTTTTTCATCTGTAGGTATGTTAAAGCAAAGGGAAGTAGGTAATTAGTATTTTTAAATGGGTTGAAAGGCTCACTACAAGTTTGTGCAGTATAACTTAATTTTAACTTGAAGACATTCAAGTGTTCAGTGCTGTCTGGAACACTGTTTTTTACGTAATTTTCATAGGCACATACAACTTGGGCTCAACAATTGCATTTGGATCAGGCATGTGTTCTGTACATGCTCTTCTGTGTTGGGTAAATTCCTTTCCTGTTTATTGCAAGTATTTAAGAGAGGTTGTCCTTTTCTCTGAATTACCACTTCTGAAGTGGTATTAATGGAGATATCTGTAAGAAAGAATCAATCTACTTAGCTCAGCCCTCGATACAATTCTTTCTTTTTTTTTTTCTCATCGCTTTTCTGCTTCAGGATGAAAATGATCTGTGGATTATTTTGAAATCCACAATTTTGAAGTAGAGTGGCATCTTAAGTATTTGGTCCTGTATTTGATCTGTTAAGAGTTTAAGGAGAATGGCTTTTTCTAGCCACGATGCTTAATGTAACTCACAGGTCAACATATTGTATAAATATTTCCCATAAACATAAATCTATAATCCTGTTGAGGTCAGAAGAAAATCCTCTCCTGACTCCATGAAATTAGTTATCTGCACGCACCTCTCTGCTAGAGAGTCTGGTCAGTGCTTGGCACTGAACTGCCAAACTGGAAAGAAAGGAATTCAGAAGATATTCAAGAAATCCAGGATGAGTTTTCCTTGCTCTTCAACATGAAAAGTAATATTTCAATGTATTAAGATATCTCTGAACTAATTTGATGTAATCAAGCACTTGCATCATCACACAAGCCTCTCTGAACTAATTTGTAATCAAGCACTTGCATCATCACACAAGCTGGCTGCATCTTGTTGCTTCTACTGCTTTTTCCCTGTGTGCATCGTAAGGCAAAGGATGTATTTGGAGAGTTGGTGTCAGCTTTAATTTGGTTCAAGGCACTGATGTATATTATTACACTTGTTTGTTACAGGTGGAAGTACTTAAATTTGGGGTTTGTTTTAACTGTTGCAAGATTATTATTTTTTTTAATTTGACATCCTGCTGTGACTGAAGCCACTATGACTTGCAGCTATAGTATCTATTTTTGCAGTTCTCACTTAAGCATGTTTTCTTCCTTGTTCTAGATTGGAATGTTGACTATAACTACTGATAATGAAAAGGTAATCTGTTTTAAACATTATTAAAGTGCATCTGGTAAATAGTTCAATTCTGATTCTGTGAACTTATTCCAAATGTCTCATTACCAAGAATACTGCCATATAATGGCATGAGTCGCCCGTGTAGCGTGTATACTATGTTTTTCAAGCTTCTGAAATCCATGTATTTCTTAACTTTCTTCTGTTTAGTGAACTGTTACCTTTTATTCATGTAAGCAGTTTGGAGCAGCATGAGCTGTGGTCCAGGTCTGTCCTCTGTAATCTGAGGAAAGCACTGGTCTGTTTGTACTTCAGAAACCCTCACTGCATTCCAAGCCTCAATTCTTCACCCTTGGGGGGTAGCTCAAGCTGCAAAAAAGGTCACTGTGTTGTCTGGTGTTTAATACTTAACTGTACGCTATCCCAAACCAGGGCTCACACCAAAGAAACTTTGAACCAGCTGTCAGACTAAATGTTAACTGCTTTTTGTTTAGCACGGCTGTAATGTAGTGCTTGCCCCAGCAGGAACATAGCAGAGCAAGGTTCATTGCTTTCCCTTTTCTGTTGCTGCAGGGAACTGATGTTTTTTGGCTTATTTGCCCTTTTCTTCTGAAAATATGATTAAAAAGGGGGTGGGGGCCAGATAATAACTGATTCAAGATCTTAAAAGAGCAAGGTTCATTGCTTTCCCTTTTCTCTTGCTGCAGGGAACTGATGTTTTTTGGCTTATTTGCCCTTTTCTTCTGAAAATATGATTAAAAAGGGGGTGGGGGCCAGATAATAACTGATTCAAGATCTTAAAAGCTACTGCATAGTGCTAAACTTGAAAGTAGTGACGAGTGATGGAAAGCTGCATCTAGTGGGTTACTCGGTAATTTACTGTAAAGTGGTAAGTTGTGGGTTGTTTTTTGTTTTATTTTTTAAGTGCAAATGGCTAAAGAAATGTCTGCAACATGCAACATTAGAAATAGTTTTGACTGTTGTGAGCTTCTTAAATTTGGTTATGTGAAGGAGTTCTTTGCTGGGAAAAGCCAGTAAGTTTTTATGTAGGTGAAAGCAGTCCACTTCTGTAGCAGATTTTCATCTTCATCAGACTTGATATGTTAAATCAAGCTAACTTCTTGTATCTTCAGTCAGCTCTCAGTCCTTTAAGAAGCCTGACACTAAAAGTCATCTCCTGTAATTTGTTTATTGTATTTGGGGAATTTAATGCTATTGGGTAGAGCAGCCAGGCCTCAGGAGGGAAGGAGATAAGTCAGTATGTAGGAGAATATAACGTAAACATAAATATGTCTGCTTAAATTTTTGCTTTGCCAGGCTCCAGATGTTGAGTCTCGTGAAGACCTGATAAAAAACCACTATATGGCAAGGATAGCAGAACTTACATCTCATCTGCAGCTTGCTGACAGCAAATCAGTACACTTCCACGCCGAGGTGAGCACGCAGGCTGTGTCTCTACTGAAAACAATAAATCCCCTTGTGAACTTCCCACAGGCCAGTGTTTTGACAGTGAGTTTAATTATATGGAACACAATGTTTTGTAAAAATCTGTTCCTGGGGTATGTTTTTTGGCTATGGTCTACAGCAGATTTTCGTCTTTATCAGAGACTTGGTATGTTAAATCAAGCTAACTTCTTATATCTTCGGTCAGCTCTTGGTCCTTTAAGGAGCCTGAGAGTGAGAAACTGCAGAGTGATCTCCTGTAATTTGTTTATTGTATTTGGGGTAGCAGATTTTCATCTTCATCAGACTTGATATGTTAAATCAAGCTAACTTCTTGTATCTTCAGTCAGCTCTCAGTCCTTTAAGAAGCCTGACACTAAAAGTCATCTCCTGTAATTTGTTTATTGTATTTGGGGAATTTAATGCTATTGGGTAGAGCAGCCAGGCCTCAGGAGGGAAGGAGATAAGTCAGTATGTAGGAGAATATAACGTAAACATAAATATGTCTGCTTAAATTTTTGCTTTGCCAGGCTCCAGATGTTGAGTCTCGTGAAGACCTGATAAAAAACCACTATATGGCAAGGATAGCAGAACTTACATCTCATCTGCAGCTTGCTGACAGCAAATCAGTACACTTCCACGCCGAGGTGAGCACGCAGGCTGTGTCTCTACTGAAAACAATAAATCCCCTTGTGAACTTCCCACAGGCCAGTGTTTTGACAGTGAGTTTAATTATATGGAACACAATGTTTTGTAAAAATCTGTTCCTGGGGTATGTTTTTTGGCTATGGTCTAGTGTGCATAAAAATGGAAACTGTAGAAAGGTACTTCCCTAAAAAATAAATCCTTTGGTAGCCTTGTCTCAGGTATATTAAGTAGTACAACGTGTATCATATATAGGTTTGTTCATATAAGCTGAAGCATCTGGTAGTTACCAAGCTAATTTTTGACTTCATCTTGAAGTGATGTTGACATCATACAAAAAAAAAAGGAGTCTATCATGGAGTGATGGAAACAGCTCTGAGAAACTGGTTCTCAGGCATAAGTTACACCTAACTTCAAGAGCTAACAAAATGATTCATTGTATCTGACTTCCTGTTTTCATTTCAAATCATGAGGTAATTTTTCTTGAAAGTAGTGACCATTTTGATTTATGTAATTAATTGTTGTGAAGTATACCAAAGCTCCAGGTTGACAGTGCAAATCCTCTTAAATATTTTTTTACTCGTAAAATGACATAGTATGGAGGAACCATCTTTGATATTTGGGCAACGTATGAAGTGAGTTGACTGTGTTGCTTTTTCCTTATGAAATATTTCCTAGTAATTATATGAAAATTATGATACTTAGAGGATTGGCAGTATGATAATTCTGTAAAAATATAGAAAAATTTAATGTTAACTATTTCATTACAGTTTCATTTAATGTGTGCATGCTCTGACTTAAGTTTCTTGAAATCAAAGGATTACACAAAGATGGAAACATCCAAAATAATCAGTTAAAGATGGTGCAAGGCAATACTCTGGAAATAACTTTCCTCCCTTCTACCCTCCCTCTCCTGTTCTGATTGACAGTGTCGAGCACTTGCCAAAAGACTGTCTCTGGCAGAGAAGTCCAAGGAATCGCTTACGGAAGAGCTGAAACTTGCTAGTCAAAACATCAGTAGGTTACAGGCAAGTAAAATGTCATATCATGTAATAGATGCATTTTGTTGCCCTGTGTAAAAGGAGGTTGGAGGAGAAAAATTACAACCATTGAGCATGTACTAGGAAAGTGCTGAAAGTGCAGTTTCCTAGATAATGCACCACATTCATAATCCTTTCTAGTGCATGCAACTGAAAGTCTTAGAAATGTCAGGGTGGTTTTTTTGGAGATGGATAGCTTAATATTAAGCAAAAATAACTTCAGGGTAATCCTTAAGAAGCCATTGTTAACAGTAGATAAGAAGTCTTATAGCAGACATCCTGTGAATGTCCTGTCACTTTGTCCTTCCCCTCCACGCAGTTCAAAAAGGAGCCAATGGTAAAATAAAGTATATATAAATATTCAGTGCTTAAATGTCTTCGTGTTTTCTTCATATTTAGTTCCTATCTTTATTGCTCACCTGTCTGAGACAGTGATTACCTAAAATGCTCCATACAGACAGTGAATATAATGATATACACTTAAAAGAATGATTCACGAACACAAGATGCTCTTTTGACTTGTTCCTTTAATAAATTCCACAACCAATATTCAACTCCACATGAGATGTTCACCTCCAATTACGTATTAAACTCCCTAAGGAAAGATAGCAGGTGCATCATTTTCATGTTTTTTGTTTATAGCCTGCATAATATTGCATCATGGAATTGTTTGGATTGGAAGGGCGCTCTGGTCCTCTCCTTCGGTCAGAGCAGAGAGAGTTCAGATCAAGCTGTTGAATTGGGGGTTTCTTTTACAGCCTTGTTGACTTTCTGTCACTATTGTTCAGCTTCATAAACATTGGACTGTTTTTTGCTCTGTCCTTGATCATTCAGCTTTCCTGGCCCCCTTTAAATTCCAGGGCAGTTTTACCTGGGATCTTGCCAACTGCCAAGCAGACCCTGAAAAAAGCCAAAATCTATTCTTCTAAAATCTCGGGTTGCTGTAATTCTACTATTCATCTTGCTTTGCTCAGAATCTTAAATTCTATTTACTCAAGGTTGCTGCAGCCAAGGCTACCATTGCCTTTCACATCCCTGACCAGCTCTTCTGTATTCATGAGTAACAGTTCCAGCAGGCCAATAGGCCTCTCAGGCCTACTGACCACTAGTATTAAGAGAAGTTCTTTACCACACTCAAGGGAATTCTTGAATTGCTTGTGTCCCACCTTGTTGCACTTCCAGGAGATGTCAGGTTGGTTAAAATCCCTCATGAGGATTAGGGTCTGGAATGGTGAGATTTCTATCCACTTGTAGCAAATGCCCCCCATATCACCCCTGCTGTTCCCCTCTGATCCCTACCTATGAGATCTTAATTGGCTTCAAACCACTCCTTCACATCAAGTGTGACTTCTCCTCTTCCTAAAGTGTATTTACCTCTACGTTGCTGCATTCCACACTGTCCTACCATGTCTGTCAAATGCCAGAGGGATCATAGATGGTTGATTCCTTCAGCTTTGTGTGCCATAAAAAGTGTGTGTGGGGAAGTTAGGAAACAAAGCAAATATAAGGGGAACAAACCATGCATGAGACTTCAGGTAAAAGAAAAATAGCTATTGAGTTGCTTGCAGCAAATGATGTAGGTTTGGTTTTTTTCAATGGTTTAGCTTGATTGCACACATTCAGCAAAACCATATAGTTTACTAAGTGGAGATCAAAGTTGGCTGCTTTGCCAGTTGTCACTAATATTGAGCAAAGGCTTCTGGTTTGTTATTTTTTTCTCACTTAGGATGAATTGATGACAACAAAGAGAAGTTATGAGGATCAGTTAAGTATGATGAGTGACCATCTCTGCAGCATGAATGAAACATTAACTAAACAAAGGGAAGAAATTGATACGCTAAAAATGACCAGTAAGGTAAGTTGTCAGGTATTGACATTAGGCACAGGCTGTGGTTTGGAGGTCTGTGGGTTGCACTTGGCATTCCTGCAGTATCACCCTTTAACAAACCAATTCACAAGCCATAGTTCTTGTTCTTGGCCAGTTAGAAAGAAAAATCCAAACCCGGTCCTGAACAATTCAGAAAAATTCCAGAAAAAATGCTTGTAAAACACTTCATGTCACTGCCTTAACGTAGGCTTTCAAAGCGTACCCTCTGATGGATGATTGGTACCTTTTTTTTTTGTTTATATCTGGTGAAAATAAACTATTTGCAATCTATACTGGGTGTTTCTGATCAACTTATTGGTAAGAGTGTCTTTCCTGTGCTTGTCTCTTGGTTGCAGTGTACTCTGTTCTTGGCGGCTATTCTTTTTCTGTGTTTTATTTCTGTATTCTAGCTTTTCAGTTACTTGTATGTAGGATTGAAAACTTTGCCACTTAAATTCTTCTGTGACCTTAAAATGCACATTTAATTTTTTTTTCCAAGCAGGGAGTCTATCCATTTACCAGAAACGAGTTTTTGACTAATGTTAGTGAGGAAAAATAGAGAAGGCTGCTGTTGGAGCTGTCAGTGCTTAAACCATGGTATATTCTCATGGTTTGAGGGAGAAACGGATCTTGTGAAAGATTTTGCCCTTCACTACTCTGGTTGGGAAACTAATTATTCTCCTTAATTGTGGAATGCATGGAAGCGGATTTCACTGAAGGGTTAAAATAAAAATCCATGTTTTGATTAAAGGTCCTGTGACAGCAACTTTTATTTTTTAGAATAGATTCTTCCCCTCATGTACAGCACTGTTTTTCTTCAGATGTTTGAGTGCTTTGACTTGCCATTGCAGTCTTTAAAGCTACTTTTCAGTATGTAAGCTCTTGTGTTTTTTTAAAGGGAAGCACTTGGCTGCATACTGACCATACCACTTCATGTTTTTATAAATGTTTTCTGGAATTTGTCACTTGTCATACCTCTAAGACTTGAAGTGTTACTCTGTGTGTAAGGAGGTAATTCAGAATCTCCCAATGGTAGACACGGATTTTGAAATGTTATCAAACATAGTGATTCAGTTGAAATCAGAATGATAGATTTATTTCTTATCTGAACTATGTGTTCTGTTCGCTTTTTTCTTGTTGCAGGGAAATTCTAAAAAGAACAAAAATCGATAGCTTGCAGCTCATCAACTGTCTTCAGAAGCTGCTGCTGCGCAGGATGCAGTTGGTGGATGTTCACTGTCTAATTCCTGTTTGTTACAGGAAGCAGAGGTGGTATTGGGTCTAGTAAAAACTGATTTGGTGCTGTAAATGGCTTTAAAATATTTAGAACTTGTGACAGGTAAAACAGAACTTAATGTTGGCTCTAAACCAGGAAATACACACTGTGGATAATTTATATAGTAATTACCTTCAGTTTTTACTGTGCACTTTTTAAAACTAGGTTTTAATTTCATGTAATAACTTCATATTTTGTATATTTTCAAATATTCTGCATTAACAAGTTTGGATCAGTGCAGTAGTTGTCTATTTTTGAGTTATATGTTAAATTGTCAATGTGTACATTCCTTTACCTGCTAATAACAGTTTAAAAATTAATTTTGAGACTTTGGGCCATGCAAGATGTGCAGTTACTGTGAATGTCTTATTCCTGTTCTCAGCCCTTTTGAATTAATTGGAATTGTAGCTTTAAATGACTTCTATAAATTCATACAAGTAAACGGGATCACTTTTCTTTTAGGTTGCAATTGTGGAAACTTTTGCTGCTTGTATTTGGCACTTGGAAGCTGCTGCTGCTGCGCAGGATGCAGTTGGTGGATAGAAGCTGCTGCTGCGCAGGATGCAGTTGGTGGATGTTCACTGTCTAATTCCTGTTTGTTACAGGAAGCAGAGGTGGTATTGGGTCTAGTAAAAACTGATTTGGTGCTGTAAATGGCTTTAAAATATTTAGAACTTGTGACAGGTAAAACAGAACTTAATGTTGGCTCTAAACCAGGAAATACACACTGTGGATAATTTATATAGTAATTACCTTCAGTTTTTACTGTGCACTTTTTAAAACTAGGTTTTAATTTCATGTAATAACTTCATATTTTGTATATTTTCAAATATTCTGCATTAACAAGTTTGGATCAGTGCAGTAGTTGTCTATTTTTGAGTTATATGTTAAATTGTCAATGTGTACATTCCTTTACCTGCTAATAACAGTTTAAAAATTAATTTTGAGACTTTGGGCCATGCAAGATGTGCAGTTACTGTGAATGTCTTATTCCTGTTCTCAGCCCTTTTGAATTAATTGGAATTGTAGCTTTAAATGACTTCTATAAATTCATACAAGTAAACGGGATCACTTTTCTTTTAGGTTGCAATTGTGGAAACTTTTGCTGCTTGTATTTGGCACTTTGGATTTTGAAGTAAAGAGCACAAATAGCTGAATTGGGATACTTCTATGAAATTGCTTTAAGCCCTTACTCAAGCATTTTGTTTACACATGTGTATATATATTGGTTGAAATAGCTGTTTAAAGCTAGAGGAAATTGTGATCGTCATTTGCCCCAAAAGAGTAAAGCGATATATGTGTGTAGATTAGCTCAGCTTACTGTGCTCTCTTACAGTAAAGAAGAATATGAAATACATAGAAGAATTAAACACTGAATTTGCAAAAGGTCTTCATGGAATTAAATTGTGATGGATTTACTAGGGGGATGCACGTGGCTTTTCCTGTGTTTTGGGAAGTTTGTGAACTTTAGGCCTTTCCTAAGATTTTGGGTTTTTTTAAGTGAAGTCTAACAATACGAGAGTTCACAGCATTGATTTTTTTTTGTTGTTGTTTTTTTAAATCAGATGCTGTGCTGCTCCACACTTTACACTGATCTTCTGTTCCACAATTTACATTATGGCACTTATTTGTCATATAAGGGTTTACTTTGATAACAGCTGTGATATGTATTGTTAATATGTAATAATAAAATCAGCTACGTGAAACCAGATGGACTTTTTTTGATTCTGGTTATGCCCAGGTTGTGCAGTGTACACCGAGTCCAGGCTGGCATTCCTTACCTTCTGTGTAGTTTATTAGCATTATGTTGAATTAAAAACTACATGGTGCTTGGGAAGTTTTTACTTTCTCTCTGACTATTCTATTGCAACAGATACAGCTTTAACTGTTTCAATTAGGGTTGGAAGCTAATTGCTTTCTGCCAGTTCTTCTGAAGCTGCCTTTTCTGACATTCATCTTGCAGTGAAGGTACTAATTTATCATATTTTAATTCACTGGATCAAATTGTTGAACTTCTTACTGATGCTGGTTCTCATAGGTGGCTGCATTCAGAAAAAGGTTTTGCCTTTATGCCATTGTTTTGGAAAGGCCCAAGAAAAAATACACTTTGAAGATTGAGCATTTAAAAATGTGCATTAAAAAAAGTTAAATCGCAGAATGATATGGGGTTGGAAGGGACCTCTGGAGATCCTCTAGTCCAACCCCCTGCCAAAGCAGGTTGCACAGGAATGTGCACAGGGGGGTTTTGAATGTCTCCAGAGAAGGAGACTCCACCACCACTCTGGGCAGCCTCTTCCAGGGCTCTGCCACCCTTAAAGTATCTATAATCTAAAATTTTATTTTACAAGAGTATAACCCCAACATCAAAACTGGAATTAATATAGATACATAATTTATAATTATAATTCTATAATATAGGCATAATATTAGCAGGCATTTAGGTGCAATTCCAATGTATGTTAGCTTATCAGCATTTTTTCCTTTCAGTATCTATTTGGAAATGTATTTGGGTGTCCCTCTCGCCAATCAGCAGTAAATATGCTCAGCTCGAGTGAGCAAAATTATCTCTTCCTGCCTTCAAGGAAATGTTGCCAAGTAAGTTTCAGACAATTGCAAGCTATCAATACACAAAAGTAGAATCTTGGAAAAAAAGTTAATATGGTATTTTGGATACTGTTGTAGTAATGCTGTGAGGGGGATAGTATGTTACATTTAACTTAAGTTAACTTTAACTTAACTGGAATAAGTGGAAAGGCCTAACGAGCTTGTGCTTATCCCCTAACCAGGTGGTTCTCAAACTATCTTAAATATCTAAATTGTTAGTGAATAATACTACACTATTAAAAAGCTGAAAGTTGTCTTCAGTGTTATAGTGAAGAATTCATCTTTGAGATTGAAACTTCTGGAAAATTCTATTTGAATGACTTCATATGAAAGGGTCTATGCAGATTATGATGGAATGCCCAAAATTTGGGCAAAGAAATTGTACTAATACTGGAGTTAATGTTCAAAAATTTACAGTGTGAATAGTCAACTTCTAGTTGATTAATTAGGAAACTAATGACAAACTTGTGAATTAGGAAAATCTTTAGAACAATATAGTATAAAATCATGGTTAAAGAAAAATCCTAATGCTAATTAATTTTTTTAATAGACAGTTCATCATAACCCAAGTTTTCAAAGCATTTTTAGAGAGCTTAATGCATTTCTACGTAACACTGGGCACCTCATGAATAAGCTCTTCTACTCATGAATAAGCGACCAATTCAGGTAACAGCACTATTTCTTATTAATGGTTTTAATAACTCGATCTTCAAAAATTCTGTCTGAACTTTGGTTTAAACCTATACTAAGGCTTTCAAAGATTTCAAAATGTTTAGCTACCCTAGATTTCTGAAAATACATCCCCAGTAACTACTTTGTGTGTTCAAAATAAATACTTGCTATAACTGAGAGTGAATTTAACTCTGAGATTGCCCTTTTAAGAACTCCTTCATGAGTTTTGAGAGTACCAAGAAGCATTAAATATACTGGCTATTTTAAAAGGCCTTAAGCTCTTACAGTTCATAGGTTTCCCTGCCTGGAAGATTAACTTCTAAACCAAGATTCTTAGGCTGACATCATCATAAACTGCACAAGGGTGTTACCTCATTGCAGTTTAAATAATGATGTGATTATTTTAAACTGTTACATATATAACTATACATCTGTGATTTAAATACCGAGCACCTTAAGTGCTGATTTAAAAATGGTGGTGTTTGCTGTGTCTTTTGCTAATTCCTTCAGATTAAATCTTAACCAGCTGAACATTTTCACACTAGATGTCATCTAGTAGAGCTCCGAGCAGCATCGGTATCAGGCTGAAACACTTGGGCTTCCCATCTTTGTTGAAGTGCACTGGCTATTAATACGGGGTATTTTCCCTTTTTACCAAGCCAGCTTCATTTCTCGTTTGTCCTTGTAATTTGCTTTTTCTGCTCTCCCTTCCCTTGCTGACAGATGAGTTGAATTTTTGGCGGGGAAAGGTCTGTGGCCCAGCGTGATTCCTTGGTGCTGACTTTGGGCACAGCAGGAGCCCGTCACTGTTCAGCAGTGCTCACTGCAGCTCCAAAGAACAGATCTGCTCAGGCATCAGTTGTGAGCAGGAAAGGAAATAAACTTTTTTTTTATCCACGTATCACCTATCGTGAGACTGGGAAGTTATTTACTGGCTTGGTTGAGCAATGTGAAAGCTTTTTTTTTTAATATATATTCAACTTTGGAGAACCATCTGGCCCTGTAAAGTGGGCAAACCTGTTGTTCTTCAATGCAGTATGTATGTGCAGTAATTTGAGAGCACTATCTTAGCAACAGTGGGGTCATAATAAAAATAAAGCTTAGTGCAGTAAAAAATTGTAATTGCTACCAGAGGTCTGATTACTTCCTCCCACAAAGGCTGGATGCCGCTCTATTAAGAATGCTTGTTCTGTCTTATTCTGCTTTTGCTGCTTCTGTTACTACTTGCAGTATTACTCAGCAGTGAATTAAAACCATGTTTGTTTAGGAGAGGCCATGTTTGCCCTAATTCCTGATTCTTTCTTTTAATCACAGAGTTTAAAACTCGCTTTAACTATCCTTGTGCTGCAGAACTGCTGGGCTTGGTTACAGATGGGGACAGAGCTTTTGGGCTTTTTGGGCTTTTGGGGACCTTAATGAACAAGGCCTGACTGGGGCTATGGAATCCACGGCGTGGAAACTTGCCTGGGGGCAGTTCTCATTGTCTGCCTCTGCTGTGTGTGTGTAGGCAGCTTTAGACATGTCAATGCTAATTCACAATCACTTGGCTTTTTACAGAAATATTTGCATCGCTGCAATACCGAGGTTACATACTTGAGCCACAAAATAAGAAGCCTATGTTGGCCTTAGTTTGCATGGTGAGCCATTGTGCTAACAGCCCTGTAAGAATTTTAGTTTTGAGCTTTTAATATGTGAAACTGTAGAGATAATGGGAGAAATCATACTTTATTTGTACTGGTTTAACTTGTAATTCACCTTGCATGTCCAAAGCTTTGTGAACTCATGAGGTCTTACCCTAAGCAGTAGCCTCTTAAATCCGGGCCTGGTGTCAAAAGCGTGTTTGTGGTCTCCCATAAATAACACAGCTTGATCCTGAGATGAGCTAAACCCACAAAATTGAAGAGTCCAGGTAATTTCTGGTCACTTTAAGCATTGTGGGTTCTTTCATGAGTTGACCTGAAAGCTCATCTGTGGTGGAATGTAGCTTCTTGCAAACTTTCTCTGTCTAAAGTTCACTGTTTCTGAAATGAGTAAGGGAAGACCTTACATCTCCACACACACCCCTTCCTACTAAAAAAGGGAGTCTTCATCCTCGTCTGCCCTCCCACTAAAGCTTCAAGTTTCCTTCCTCTAGTGTTTAGAAAGCTTCAATTTGGGCTTAAATAGTAAATGCAGAACACTTCATTCAGGAAAAAGATATTTTAATGATGTTATTAGCTTGAAAAAGTCTGAACTGAGAACTTCAGTATGGTTTCATTAACTGCAGCCTTTGGTGTAAGGAACAGCTGTAATACTGGAATTGGTGCTGCACCCCTTAATTGCCTTCTACTTAATTGGCTTTCAAATTGGATATAGTATGTGCAATGTTGGACACAGCAAATATTCGTATTGCAGGGAGGAGAGGGGATCAATTTTTCGAAAGTCTCTTTTGACCTCTGGAAAATGGGGGTTTATTTTCAGTCCAGACAAGTAGACAAGGAGAAGTTTCTCTTAAATTATCGATCTAGCCCAGAAGGGCAAGAGCGTTTGAAGCCAACAAGCACTCACCCTCTCAGAAAAAGAACATGAGTGTGCTGAATTTCTGTAACCAATTTATATGTAGTAAATATACAGTACTTAAACAGTGCATATACTATACTTGTGAGGCTTTTTAAATAGCAAGAGTACTAAGTTAAAAACTAATTATATGAGAGGGAGAGAAGAACTTTGAGTTGTGCATTGTGGTTTGAGTTCTTAATTTAGATGGGCTTCTGCAGAAATTTGTTGCTAAAATAAAAGGCAAAGTAGTAGAGCACAGAGTTAGAATTAATTTCAGAAACGAGTGCTTTTCTGTCTCCAATTACTTGGTTCTAGTGAGATAAGACTTGACAAGTTTCACTTCAGACAAAGTAGTCATAAGCAATAAACATTTTATGAAAAGGGCAATATACTGGAAATCATGTTAAGATCAACATAAATATAGTCAGCAATGTAATGGAGCCTGTCTCCACTCCATTTCCAGAACAGCCTGTCTCCTTTGGCAAGACTTTCTGACAACATGAGAACTTGTAGAACAATCTCACCAGCTTCCCTTACCATGGAAATTCAGCCTGGGCTCACCACTGGCAGGTGGCAGTGTCTTCTGTTCTCACCAGAGGCTGCCAACCTGCATCCTCCAAGCCTGTTCCCTAAGAGGTACCCATTACTGTAAAATAGTGGTAGTTCACCTCTGAGTCTCCCACTCTTTCAGTGGCTTGCCCTTCCTCATCCCTCTTTGACTGCAACTCATCTTCTCTTACTCTCGAGTAGCAGATTTTTACCCATAAACCCCAAAGGGTTGATTAATCTCATTAAAGCATAAGTTTTTTTTTTTTTTCTTTTCTTTGAGGTGTTCCTTTGTTGGGGCATGAACATTTGGACACCAAGAAGTCCCTGAGTTTCTTTTTTTGACAGTGCTTGCCTCTTTGGAGACAGAAAGGTTGACACAGCAGAGAAGGAAATGTCTGTTCTTACACTACTTGGAAAATCATCCTGGCTTAAGAACTTTTAAGAAACTAGCAAGTTTATATATCTAAAGTAAATGGCTGTGTACCCCTAGCTGAATGTTCCAGCCAGCACAGTGCTACCAGAGAGACATCTAGGAAGGGTGTACAACTGAAGAGAATGATCCTGGAGTCCTTGTCCTTATTAGAGGCGTGAGGCTCCTCCAGAGGAAACTCTTTTGGAGGAAGGGTCAGTTTAGGAAGGAACAAATTGAAGCTTTTGAATTGACAGCTCCAGGAAGAGTTGGCCTTTTGAGCTCAAAGACGTTGGCTATCCCCCCGCTTCCCCATCTTAATTTGTGGTCCTCTTGGCTGGTGGAAGAATGAGTTCTGCCCTTCCATGGCTTTAGGACAGGCCTATCAATACCCCATAGACAGCTATGACCAACTACATGTGCAGTAAAAAACTTCCACAGAATCACAGAATGATACGGGGTTGGAAGGGACCTCTGGAGATCATCTAGTCCAAGGTCCTGCCAGAGCAGGTTGTACAAGAATTTGTCCCATGTGAAGACTCTACGCCTTCTCTGGGCAGCCTTTCAGAGCTCTGCCACCCTCACAGTGAAGAAGTTCCTCCTCGTGTTTAGATGGAACTTCCTATGTTCAAGTTTGTGCCCGTTACCTCTTGTCCTGTCACTGGGCACCACTGAAAAAAGACTGGCCCCATCCTCCTGACACCCATCTTTAAATTATTTATAGGTATTGATAAGATCCTCTTTCAGTCTTCTCTTCTGAAGGATAAAAAGACCCGAGTCCCTCAGCCTTTCCTCCTGACAGAGATGTTTTAGCCCCATAGTCATCTTTGTAGCCCTCTGCTGTACCCTCTCCGGAAGTTCCCTGTCCTCCTTGAACCGGGGACCCCACAACTGGACACAGTGCTCCAGATGGGGCCTCACCAGGGAAGGTAGGAAGGGAGGATGACCTCCCTCGACCTGCTGGCTACACTCTTCTTGAGGCACCCCAGGATCCTGTTGGCCTTGGCCACCAGGGCACATTGCTGGTTCATGGTCATCCCGATGTCCCTCAGTCCTCTCGGGTCTTTCTCCACGGAGCTGCTCTCCAGCAGGTCAGCCCCCAACCTCCACCGGTGCGTGTGGTCCTCGCCCACCTTTTCTTTCTTCTTCCCCGCTTTCCGCGCGGAAATTAAATGAAATGGAATTAAATTTCCCGCGGGTGGAGGCGGGCAGGGGGGCGGGACGG